CCTAAGAAAGCTTCACCAGGTCCCAGGAACATTCTGAGCAAATGCTGCTGTCCTGGCTAGGCTATGAGGAAAAGATTGTCCCTGAGGTTGAGGACCCACAATCTGATCCATAGCAGTAGCTTTGGAGACTATGGAGGCAGGATGCCTGGTATTTACTCACAGTTACCAGGGTTTAATGAGTTTAAGCAAGTCATTGTCCAGCTCTGGGTTTTAATTTCCTCCTACACAGGTTAATGTAAATCTCACTGAGTTTTTATAAGACTCAAATTAAGAGATCAGGCATCAAAATGCTTTGATAATGGTATAAATACTATCTGCCCGATCATTATCCTTTACTCCTCTGTATCACTCTTAATAATCTGCATCACAGGAATGCCTACTGCTTCTGTATCATTTACTGGAAATACATCTCAGGCTTCTAAGCCATGAATAGCACGCTGGTGGCTTCGAAGTCCTCTCTTGAAGATCCAGGGCTATGTTACGAGCAGCAGAAGAAAGGTCCCTCTTGCAGGTGAACTGGGACTCAGATAGGGCTTTCTGTGATGCCTACAGCTTTGACTCCATGAGAACTTTTCATTTTTTTGAGACAATCTCGCTCTGTTGCCCAAGTTGGAATGCAGTGGCGCTACCTCGGCTCACTACAACTTCTGCCTCCCAGGCTCAAGCAATTCTCATGCCTTAACCTCCTGAGTAGCTGGGACCACAGGCATGCACCACCACGCCTGGCTAATTTTCTTTGTTTTTTTTTTTGTAGAAACAGGGTTTCACTATGTTGCCCAGGCTGGTCTCAAGCTGTTGAGCTCAATCTGCCTGTCTCAGCCTCCCAAAGTGCTGGGATTATAGGCGTGAGCCACCGCACCCAGCCAACTCCCTTGAAGAAAGGATTGTGTGTATTTTTCAGCAGTTGACTGGTTCAGAAGCATAAAATGAAGGCATCAGAATGTCTCCCAGCTTCACCTGAGATGTAAGGGTTGCTGTGGTAGGGTTGTAGCCATGGTCTTTCTTTCAGAGTGACTGAACCAAGATTAGGAAGTTTAGGCAACAGCTGGTGCCAGACAAATACCAAAATTCATTCAAAAGGGGTTGCAGAGCTCAAGCCACTAGAAAACCCATTCCAGAACTTTCACATCTCATTTTCAGCAGCAACCTGTTTCCACCATTGGCTCACAAAGCACCAACTCCAAGGTACTTGTACACAGATGTTTTGCTTCACCAAAAGTCCTCTTTTGGTGATATACAGTCAGTGTAGAACTCACAGAAAGGTGCATGGTGCCACAGGTTCTTCTGGTCCATGACTTTCAGATAGATTCTTTTGACTTTCCTGGCACTCACAGGCCAGCACAGGCTGGGAGTGGGCTGGAGGACAAAACACCTTTACCAGATAAAACAACCAATACCAAACTAGGCTGGTCCTAAGACCTCTCCCCAGCAAAGTCTCAGGCTACTTCAAGGATTGTAAAGACAGGAAAATTCAGCAGGTGAGACGCCACACTGCAGTGCAGAAAGAGAAGCAATTTAACCTAGTCATTGAACACAGAGCTGTCAAGGACCTGTGGTCTGGTCCTAACATTGCCCAATGGGTTGGCTGTATAACTCTTAGGTGGGCCACTTAACCTCTCTGTGTCTCAGTTTCCACATCTTTCAAAGGGAAATAAGAAAGTGGCTTCCTCATAGTATTGCTAGGATAAAGAGATAAAATGAAATAATCCATGTAAAAACCTATGAAAAAATTAGAACGATACTATACAAAATATTATCACTCAATGGTAAAAAGCTCAGAATGTTGTTTGCTATCCTTGAGCTTCACACCCTCCGCCCTGCCCAACCCCAGCTCCAAGACAACAAATTTCCTCAAAAAGAAAATCCTTTTCCTTATTGCAGTAGTTTTGTAGACAACCAGTGGCTCTCACTGTCAGGGTTGATCTCTCTCTGCCGATCCAAAGGTTCCTCTAAGCCAGGATGACAAATTTGAGGGTCCTTTTTCTGGGAGTTCAAGCCATGAAAAGTCTATGAAACACGTGAAGAATGCCAGGCCATCTGTCCCTCCAAACCTCTACAGGAGCCCCTTTTAATAAGGGGCAGGAGAAGCTCAAAATGAGAAGTTAAGAGTTTCTAGGACCTTTGCTAACCCCACTGCCAACTTGCAGCCACACAAGAGGGCAGCACCCCTTGCTGCTCAGGGAACCCTGTGGGCCACTCACACAGGCAGCACTGACTCCATGCATGTATGTGGCTCAGCTCCTTTCCTCTGCTCTGTGTATAGGAACAGAACTGAACCTCAGCAAATGAGAAGCAGCATTTTCTGCATGGCTTCCACTACAACCAAGCACTGGCAATGAAACCACCTTTGCAAAAATTATATCAATGAGCAAATTATGACAGTGAAAAAGATCTGATCTAACCTACCCATCCCCACCTCTTGCCTTTCCCCTAATCATTCCTGGGCCTATTGTAGATTGGCCTTTTGAGATGTCTTTTCAAGTTTTCTGCATGTCTGACATCCATGGCTTCATCTAGATCCATCAATCCCACTCCTACAGCCCTATCCAGAAGCAACTCAGCTCAAGCAAACAGCTTTAACCCATGATTTCATTTTTATCCCAACCAATCAGCAGCAAGCACCCATTTCTAGCCACCTCCACCCCTTTCCCAAACTGCCTTTGAAAAATCCCAGCCTCACATTAACTAAACTCTTTCTCTACTGCAATGCCATGGTCTTCATTTGTGCAGCAGGCAAGAAGAACCCTTCGGGCAGTTACAGCAATTCTCATGCTTGCTTCTGAACTACTGACATCTAGAGCTAGCTGCCTTCAGGTCATCTTGTAATGTGTCTTCCACAAAAGAATATCAATAATTCAAAACTTAACTTCTTCCCCTAAATATGCTCTTTTTCCCATGCTCCCATTCCAGTGGGTCAAGACAGATCTACTGGGATGGGAGCATGGGAAAACACCTGGGTGTTAAGCCAAAGGGTTTTCTCTGCCTTACCTATCATCAATCAGACACTGAGGCTAAAACTCCTGTGATCTGATATCTCTTGAAATCTTTGCTTCCTCTTCATTCCTATTATTATTGATTTCATTAAGCCTCCTGTTTCTCCTCTGTACTATTCTGGTCTCCCTTACCACAGCTAAAGTGATCTTTCAAACTTAATTCAAACCATATCCCTCCTTTCTGGAAGTCCTTCACTTTACTCCTCACATCCCCCAAGACTGAATCCCAACCCCAAAGCATAATTTACAAGGCCTTACAGCTCCTCTGGTCTCAATCTATCCCATTCCCCAGTGTGTCTCATGATCCTATCAACCAAATTACAAATTATCTGAAGCCCCCCTAACTGCCCCAGGCTTTCTCTCACTTCTGAAGCTTCCTAGTTGCCATTCCTTTCGACTATTTGTTCTACCCCTCTACCCTTCACTAGCCCAACTTCTCCTCTTCGAAATTTCAGCTTAAAATAATGTCCTCTAAGAAGTCGTCCGTCAATAGCCTCCTCTCCCAGAGCTAGGTACGCCATTGGGGTGTACCCCAATGACTATTATAGCACTTTACAACAGTTTATTATTGTTGCTTAACTGTCTCTTCTACCAGACTGTACTCTCCAGCATGGGATTGACTATCTTATTCACCAATGTATGCCTGGCACCTAGTAGAATATGGGGCACATACTTGGAAATTAATGTGTGTGTACGTGTGTGTGTGTGTGTGCATTAAATGATTAAATAAATGGATGAATGGTTAGGTGGCTGGCCCAAATACAAGAAGTTAAACATCTAAGAGCCACAAAGGGCCAATATACAGTACCTCAAGGGCCTCTATGCCAAGCCATTTTCAACAGGGTAAGATAGGCACAGACAAAAAGCCTCAAGAGTTACCAGCAATTTCCAAGTTGACATTTCATTTTTGCCATCCCTTCTTTTTTCTAAACTGTCCTCAAGTGTCACTGAGACTGACTGATCTAAGACATGCACTGTGATGGTACAGCTAGGGAAAGTTGGTGAGGGGTAGGTACACTGAGCAGCCAGCATAGCTGGGCTGCAGGGCCAGAGGGATGCTACAGGGCCAAGGGTACAGGCTGGGAGAGTTCAGAACACCTGACAGAACTTCAAGTCCAGGGCTGAGTGGAGGCACTGGATAGTTGAGGGCACCAGGCCAGAGAAGGCAATAGGGTAAGTGAAACAGGGCCAAGGGACACTAGGAGGAATGGGTGGAGGATACGGCACAGCACTGAGGCTCCTGCTACAGGTATGACAGGGGTTGGGGGTGAAGGGGCAGAGGTGAGAATAGATAGTTGAGGGTTCTGGGTTATGTCCAGGGTAAGCGAACACTTTCAGTAAGCTAGTAGGTGGGTGGACAGAAAGGCCTCCAAGAGCTCATCTTCAAGAGAACTCTGTGTCTCAGCTGCTCATCTACCTCTGCAGAACATCCCTGCAGACCACTCACCCAACAAATTCCATTGATTCATATCCTAAGGTAGCCAACTCTGGGTTGTGGCAGCCACATAAAATATTTTCCCCATCTTCATTGTAGAGAGAAAAGTTCAAGCTTTGGATTCTAACTGATCTCATTTTAAATAAACCTCAGCTGTCTCTTCTACTAGCTGTAGGGCCCTGGACTTCAGTTTCCTTAGTTATACAATGGGGGTGCTCACTTCCACAACTGTTGGAGGCGAGGTGAGATAATGCTGGTGAAGCAGCACACACGGTTCTAAGCACAGAGGACAGAGGACATGTTCAATAAATTGGCTTTCTTTCCCTTCCCCCTTACACTCTGCATGAAGCCCAGGAGGCCCCATTTTAAGTGTGAATGGGGGAGTGGAAATGGGGAGGAGGAAGATCTACATTGCTGACTCACTAGGGCAGAAGGCATGAATCAGGGCTGTGTAGCGTCCAGGGATGGAACAGGGATGCTCCTCCCCCCACCCTATCCTCCTCCTCCAAGTGCCTGGGGTCTTGGCTGGCAGTGGGTCCCATGTGGTCAGGGAAAACAGGCTCCTTTAGTACCTTTCTCACCACATTTGGAGAGGAGTGCTGGATGGTGCTGTCCACTGGGGGGACACCAAGAGAGGTTTCTTCCCCAGACGCCTGGGGCAAGGCAGCAGCAGTATTCTTGTCAAGAGAGATAGCCGGCTTTGAGCCCTCAGATGCTGGGGGCTCATCTGTAGCCTGGAGAAGAAAATAAGAACTTGTGTAGGTTTGACTGCAGAGAGTGTAGCAGCAGCAGCAGCAGCAGTGGCAGCAAAGGCTAGTGCTCACCCTGCCCTGCCCATCATCACCACCTACACATTGTGTACTGCTTAAATGTTTTCCAAAAAGAAAAATACTCTTATCCCAACTCTTCCAAAGACTATATGCTAATGTGAAAGTCTTAGGATGGAACCCAAACCAAGAATTCTGAGCTAATTTTGTGATATTCACTTTAGCAATCATAACCTAGTTTTGACTTACATTTTAGCTTGTGGCCCTCTACGAACCCTAGACCCTTCTCTGCCATCACACGGATTATTCTATATCTCCTCAAAAGAACTGGGCCTCAGGGGAAGACACTGAAGCATGATCTGAAGTTGTCAGTACTGAAGCATAAATGTGAGGCCTTAGATTCTATAATAAAGTAAAAATCTGAAAAGCTGCTTTGAAGATATAAATGTGATTACAGATTTAAAGGGGACACCACTATAGAAAAAGTGAGAGAAGGGTAGAGAGAAGAGGATAGAACAGGAGGTTCTGGGGGGAAAAAAGAAAATCAAGAGCTAAGAATGAAGATGTGAAATGCAGCAAAGATCCCAGGGGTCCAAACTGCACCTCTTCAACTGTCTTTTAGCTGAGAAAAAAGAGGAGCAGCATCCAATATCCTCCTATGGAAAGAATAAGACTTCTGTGGCATTACAGAAATGTCAGCAGACCAGAATCCAAGTCTTAGCTCTACCTCTTGACGTTGTATGATATGTAGACAAACTGCTAGGCTTCTCTAACTCCCACTTACATACCTATAAAGCACAGACGGTAACACCTACCAAACAACATTGTCGATAGGATAAATGATATGGTGCAAATAAAACATACCCAGCTTAGTAGAAGTAAAAAAGTTTAAGTCTATATCTGTGCAATATTATAAAAGTGCTGCCTGCCAGCATCTAACATGGACCCTCACTCTGCTCCTTAAGCTCTGCCCTTCCCCCTGTCTGGGATTCATAAGGTCCGGCAAGGGAGCTAGGCAGATGACAAGATAAGAGACAGCCTCTCTTCTGCTCTGGCACTGGTAGGAGTTCAGCACAGCTCAGAAGGCACCATTGGTGGGCAGGGTCCCTACTGTCATCCAGGAAGACAGGGCTAAGCCAAGCTACTCTGGAGAGTACTGAGCCTAGATCTAAGTTGGGACTGGATACTACGCTCTCTGGAGCTTTTCTGAGATGGGAGGTTGAGTCCTGGGTAGTCTTGAACTGTGAGGGCTGAGCTCAAGGCAGCCCTAAGGTGCAGAAACTGTATTCCTGTGCTGCCTTGTTTCAGTAAGCTAGTAGGTGGGTAGACAGAAAGGCCTCCAAGAGCTCATCTTCAAGACATCTCTGTGTCTCAGTTGCTCATCTACCTCTGCAGAACATCCCCAGAACTCACCCAACAAATTCCATTGATTCATATCCTAAGGTAGCCAGCTCTGGGTTGTGGCAGCCACATAAAATATTTTCCCCATCTTCATTGTAGAGAGAGGGCCACAAGCTAAAATGTGGGGAGGCTGTGTTCTGTGAGTGATCCTAGGATGGGCAGAATATGTATGCCAAGCCACCCTGATGCTTACCTGCAGGGTCTCCTCCTGGCTCTGGGACTGAACAGGTGCTGGCTGCCTCACGATGTAGTTAATCTGCCCCACAATGGTTTGCTGAAGATGCTGAGGAGATTTGGTCTGACTCAGTTGCAAGCTGGGCTGTTGAGCCTGGAGAAGAAGCTCCAAGTCCTTCTGCATTTCCTCCAGCTCAAACTTGTGATGCATTATGTCCACATTCTGAGAACAGGCAGGCCCAGGAGGGCTGTCATGCTGACTAGAAGCCAGATGCTGGGATGGAGGTAGAGGTGGGTGTGGCTGCTGTGGGGGAGCAGGGAGGGGAGGTGGTGGAGGTGGTAGCTGCTGCTGTGGCTGCTGCTGAAAGTGACTGAGCTTCAGCTTCTGGTTGTGGCCAAACTGGACTTGGATAGAGGGTGTCTGTAAGGTGGGCTGGGCATGGGTTCCTTGCTGAACATCCTGTGGGGGGACAATGCACACGGGCTGGGAAGTCAGCTGCTGCCCCAGCCGCTGGGATGTGCTCTCCTGCTCCACATGGGGCTGGGTTTCCAGCCAGGGCTGCAGCAGCTTTGGTGGATGAGGGCTGCAGGCCAGCTCTTTCTCTCTGGGCAGCAAGGCAGAGCACTGCAGAGACCCCAGCTGCTGGGGCACCATCTCAGAGGGCTGCCTAAAGTTGTGGGCTGGGTGCATGCTGGGTGGGGGGACCTGGCCTTTGAGGGAAGGCGAGACTGGGGAGCAGTGGGAGCAGCACACAGATGAGGAGCACACTGCTGGAGACTGGAACTTGTGAGAGGGATGGCTAAGAGCCTCTTGCTGAGCCACTGGAGACTGGTGGCTTTGATAAAAGGGTGATGGCCCCTGTAAGCCTCCATAAGCAGGAGCATCTGCCCGGGACAGTTGTCCACCTTCAGTAGTTATGCAGCCTGAAAATGCAGAATAGAGAGTTTTTCAAGTTTTTCAAGTTGCTCCCACCTTGCTACTTCCTGCTCCTGGGACAAAAGAACCTCATTTGACAATCCTGTACCAGGCACAGAGATTAGGAAATTCAACCCTTGATATCCTAGACTCAGTCTAGAATGCTGCCAGTAATAGCACCTGTATGGAGCTGCTTTGGGGGCCTAGGATATTTGAGAAATTAGCTCAGTTTTTACCAGATGCTCAGCCCTGACTCTGTTTCTATCCCACTAGGGAAACCATAAGCTCTCTCAAATAGCACTCATTTTTTTTTCAACAGAACAGCCCAATCAGACTCTGACAAAAAGAATCAACTTTGGGGTGGGGAGGAAGTATGCCAGAAAGTAGGAAAGGGTAGAAAGTCATGCCTGGGACCAATGAACAAGTTCCCAGATACAGGCGTGGGGAACTGTGTGTTGAGCAAGCAGGATGGAAGAGAGTGGGGAAGCTCTAATACCAGGTAATATGGTTTGGAGCTGTGTCCCCACCCAAATCTCGTGTTGAATTGTAATCCCCAGTTGGTTTGAGCCATCCCACCCAAATCCTTGCTGGAATTGGATCCCCAGTTCTGGAAGCATACTGGTAAGAGATGACTGGATCACAGATTTAGAGTGGGGGAAGCTCTAATACTGTGTAATATGGTTTGAGCTGTGTCCCCACCCAAATCTCGTGTTGAATTGTAATCCCCAGTTTTGGAAGTGGCAACTGGTAAGAGATGACTGGATCATGGGGGCAGATCCCTCATGAATGGTTTAGCACCATCCCTTTGGTGCTGTTCTTGTGATAGAGTTCTCGTGAGATCTGATTGTTTAAAAGTGTGTAACACCTCCCCCCTTGCTCTGTTTCTTGCTGCTCTGTCCATGTGATGGGCATCTTCACCATCCTGCAGAATCATGAGCCAATTAAACCTCTTTTCTTTATAAATTACCCAGTCTCAGGTATTTCTTCACAGTAATGCAAGAATGGACTAATACACCAGGTCAGTGCCAGGTACCGGCACCGCCCCCTGAGGTCTCTAGGTCCCTTGTGCACAAGTAGATCTATGGCTAACTCAGTCTAATGACTCCTTCATCTCATTATTTTGATGAGGCTTACTTAGAGGAAGTCTGAGCTCCTTAAGGAAAATGTGTTTTATTCACCATTGGTTCTTTGGTACTCAGCCTGGGGCCCAAACAAGAGTAGGTGCCTATCAAAGGTCTGCTGAGTTAAATCAAAGGAAAGAGGGAAGAAAAGAAATAAACCTACATATCATCTGTCACTTTGCCAAGTTCAACAAATTTTCAATAAGATTAACAGCCTCAAATGAAGGCAGCAGCTGGCCATCAGTTTAACAAACTCGTTAGGCTGTCAACACAGGCACAACTTCAAGCTGTCTACATTCTGCCTACAGACTGAATGCCAGCAAATGTTTGCAGCAGGGAAGAAAAATGCACAAGGCCATGAATTATCTGCTTACATCTCAACTCAAAAGGATATTTCTGTGTAACACAAACATGCACACGCAATTTCACTGTTGCCGAGATACCCCTGCTTGTGCCCACACATGTATACCTTTGTGTGACCACAGAGACACACATTCATCTGTACTGCCATACAGCATTCTAGAGAGCAGGGTGACTGTCTTGTCTCCTTCTCAGCAATAAAACCAAGGTAACAGGACATTTACACAGAATGGTAAACTCAGATTTCAACTGGTCCTGATACAAAGTCCTATATTGCCACTGTTATTTAAATTCCTCATTCTCTCCTCTTCCCCCTCAGGAAAAAAAAAAAAAAGTTTGCTGAATGATTCCAAGACCACTGGCAGTCCCAGGGAGTGCTTTTTCTTAGGCATATGCTGACCTACCCAGTAAGGTAAGTAATTAGGTCAAAGCCCAAAGGGTGAGTAGGCCTGGGTGGGTGGGTCCAAGCTCACCAAGAGAAGCTAGCTGCTTGGTCCAGAAGTTAGGCTCCCAGGTGAATCTGATACTCCAAGGGGAGCCAGGATCTGTGTTACAACTTGTCTCCAGCAATCGCTGCATCTGAAACACAATCTGACAACAGCACCAAAGGTCATTTATTTGGGCATCTTGCACCTAAATGACAACTCCCCTTCCCTTACTCTTTGGACAAGCTGAAAGGCTCAAAGTCATGGCTGTTTAACCTCTGGTCATCCTCCATATTCTCATTCTCTTGCACCTTAGCACCTGCCCATCCTCCCAGCTGATCCCTTTCCTCTTATCAAGACTTCTGGAACCTACAGTCATTTTTTTTTTTTTTTTTTTATTGAGACCGAGTCTCACTCTGTTGCCCAGGCTGGAGTGCAGTGGCACGATCTCAGCTCACTGCAAGCTTTGCCTCCCAGGTTCACTCCATTCTCCAGCCTCAGCCTCCTGAGTTGCTGGGACTACAGGCACTCACCACCACACCCAGCTAATTTTTTGTATTTTGTTTAGTAGAGATGGGGTTTCACCGTGTTAGCCAGGATCGTCTCAATCTCCTGACCTCATGATCGGCCCGCCTCAGCCTCCCAAAATGCTGGAATTACAGGTGTGAGCCACTGCACCCGGCCTGGAACCCCTACATTCTTATCTTTCCAGGCCTCAAGTGATTTGTCATTCTCACTCATGACATCATTGACTGGTGCTCCATTCATTCTACCATCACCTCAATTTAAGAGCCTAGTGGGGGCAGGCATTTTCTGAGCTCCCCATTGCTGTACTTCCATTTGCAGGTAAAACACCCTTCTGTCCTACACAATAGCCCTCTTCCTCTCCCATCACTTTCATCTACTTCTCATCACTAACTCTCCTATTTATCCAGGGCTTTGGCAAGTGTCCAACTTACCCTGCCATCCTCTGGTTAACTAATGTCCCAACTAACATCTTAGCCTCTTATTTCTTGATCTCTTGCAAGGCAACCACCTTGTTTTCAGTTTAGTCACCATACCTAGACCCTATTAATCATTTACAACCATTCTACCTATGAGACCTTTAAACTCCAACAACCCACTCTGGTCATAACAAGTTCATGCTCTTTCAGAGTATGTTCTTCAACCTCTCCAAGCCCTGCTCCTTCAGTACACAGGACTCCCCAGCTTCCTGTCATTTACAGTAATGATATCACTAGTGTCCTAATTCCCTCCCCATCGCCAACTCCTACTCTTAGGTAATCCAGTCATACCAAAGCCATGTTACCTGGGGCCACTTCAGTGATTATTAATTTCAGCAGCACCCCTCAGCCCTTTCTCTTGTCACTTCTTGTCATCTTTCTCTTCCACTGCACTCAATGACCATTTAAAATCTTCACTTTGGTGCTACTTACCAATGTTTTAACCCTCTTATTATCACCTCCTATTTCACAGAGAAAAAAAAGACACCATAAAGGATAAATTACCCCAAACTTGTATCCCTTCTACCCTCAAACTTAACTACAGCATCGTCCCCTTCCTGTCCTCCCATCTCAGAAGGGACTGTCCTTGTGTTTAAGGTCAACCAGTTCACTCTATATCCTTCCTCCTGCTTTCTCAGTGTACTTACCCCACCACACACCCCTCCTCTCTATCTTCAACCTCTTCTACCACATACATGTGTGCAAATGTTTTCCAAGCTTAAAAAATGTTTCCCCCAACTCACTGTCTTCTCAGGCTATGTTTTTATTTTTCTTCTTTTCATTTCTGTCTCTACTTCCTCACCACCCATCCTCAGTCTCCTCATTCTAGCTTTTGACCCTTCTACTTTGCTGGAGCTTCTTTCAGAAGATAGCCTGATTCCCAGATCTCGAGGCTGCTCTTCACTATTCATCTTCTTTCACCCATGCAGCATTGCCAAACGGGTCACTTAAAATTGGAAACTGTTCGTTTCTGTGTACCACACTCTGTTTTGCTTCCAACCTCTGACTAGTGCGTCCCACTCTCCTCCACTCATCATCTTCCTCTGTCTATGCTGAAAACGATGGTATTCCCCGGGTTCCCAACTTTCTCTCTTCTTGCTCCACACACTCTTGCAAGGTGATACCACTGATTTCCTGGTGACTCCTACATCTCCTTCTCCAAAACCAACTTTTCTTCTGACTTCCACACCCATATATTAGAACAGCTTTTTAATGGTAGGTAGCTTGGAGTTGGTTTTGGATGCACTATAGGCACCTTAGACTCAAAGTATTCAAATATAAACTCCATCAACTTCTCTCAAAATTCTTGCTCCCTCTCCTGGGTGCTGCCGTCCTCTCAAGCCTAATACTTCAACCTTATCTCCAACTCCTTTTCTCTCAGACTCCCACGTAAACCCCAGTAACTTTCTATGAGATGCCTAGCGCACTACTCATGTCCAGGGTAATGTCTGAACCAGTGACCTATGACAAAAAGCTACAGACTTTCCCAACTGAGCTACCACTGGGAGGGCAGGACCATTTCAGCACCTGCGTCCTCTTTGCACTATGGGATTTGGTGAAAGATGGTGTTTACTTACTAACCCAAAAGCAGTGATTGAATTTGAAGGATGGATGGAGCTGCTATTTTATTCCTCCTTCCATCCTAAAAAGAAAAAGCACTTCCAAGGACCACCTCATTGCCCCTGTGACAAAGGGGATGCTCTGATAAGCTTCAAGAACAGGCTGAGGAGTTGGGAGATTCCTCTTACCAGCTCTTTGCTGAAAAGAAAAGGGACACTGGTTTTGCTGCAGACAGCCCAGTTGATGAAATTCTGCACATGCTCAAACTGACGGTTGAGAACCATGATGCTCTGTAACTGCTGTTCCAGCTTCCGCTTTCTCTCATTAGTAATCCCCTGGGTACAGAGAGAAGATAGTTATTGGACTGTAATCCACCTGCTTGGGAAGTCTGGTGGCCTGTGTATGTCACTGATGGAATCAGATGAGACTACCCCTCTGAGAAGACAGCAGGGCAGAGTGTTGCCATGGGATGCTGGCTGATAGAAAAGGGGAGGGAGAGGTGGTGGGAGATTTTATAGGGCACATATGGACTGGGTAACAAATGAAAGAGGAAATGAATAAATGTCTATATCTCTTGGACATAGATTAGCGAAGAAGGTAGTTTGTTTCATGACTTTCTCTTCCAAGATTATAACCCTGTGCAATTAAGGATGGAAGCTGCCTAAGAGACAGAGCATCAAAGATCAGCTTGACCTGATTTTCTAGCCCTTCATGAGCCACCCTCCCAAAATTAGGATGACATTTTAAAATACAGGGAGCAGGAGAGAGCTATGGAAGCTGCATATCTGAATTACAGCCTAGGCTTCCCTCGGTCCTGGGACTAGCTTGATCTGTGGATGGTTTCTGAATCCATCCATCTGATCCATCTGTCTATACATACCTCTAATTCCTCTATTAGCCCATTGGCCTGTTTGTTCAGCTCATTCATCAGAACCATCTTGGCCATTTTGATCTGGTTTTCCACCTTCCTATGCTGATGCTTCACTTCAAAAATCCTGTAAACACAATAGGACAAACCATGGTAAGCTTTCCTCATGGACTATATGAAGACTAAGAGACAGCAAACATAAGAAGCAACTTGGAGGCTGCCTACTGAGATCAGGGCCTAGCAGACACCAAATACAAAAAAAAAAGAGCCTTCCTCCACCACCCCACCTTTTGTACACCTGAGCCCCACTTGATCAAAGTTCAGCTTGGTTTTCTCTAGGTAAACCTCAAGTCTACACCCAGGTCAACCCAGTAGCCCCCAGTTGACACAGCACTAGAGGTAGGACCAAAAGAGAAAGTATGGGAATGATTTATTGTAATTTGTTGTCTTTAAAAGGAGGACGCTACAATAAATGTCGCCATGAGGCAAAAATATGCAGAAAGCAGATTAGTGGTTTCTGAGGGCTGGGAGGTGTTGGGGAAATGGAGAGGGACTAATAATGTTTACACTATTGGCATAATAACATATTAGATAATAAACAATAATAAACATTATATAATTATATAATAAATAATAAACATATTATATAAAGTTTATTATAAACATATAATAATGTTTATATTAATGTGGCTTCTTTTTGGGGGGATGAAAATGTTTTAAAAGTAGACAGTAATTATGTACAGTTGCACAATTCTGTGAACATACTAAAGGCCACTAAATTATACATTTAAAAAGAATAATTTTATGATATGTACATTATATCTCAGTAAAGCTATTTTTAAAAATTTAAAAAGCACGGGCTTTGAAGTCACCACAGACCCAGCGTCTAAACCCAGCAGTCACTGGCTAGTTGTGTGATCTCAGATAAGTTACCTAACCTCTATGAACCTCAGTCTCCTCATCAGTAAAATGGAGATAAACCCTGACTGAAAGAATGACAAGAACTGAATAAAATAATGCATACATGATATCCAATGCAGTGCCTGCCACATGAGGTGCTCTCAGCACCTACCACTTCCTCTTCCTATGTAAAATACCAATGATTTCATGTGATTTGTAGATTAATAGAGAACACACAGGGAAAGGAGTGATAAAGCGCAGATTGCCCCTGGTTTGTTCTACCCTCATAATAAGCAGCACTCTCGTCCCTAGTGTCTGCTTGGTACCCTTGTTCTCAAGCACCGACTTCTGGCTAGTTCATAACGTGTATGCTTTGACCCAGACTCACTCTGATCATCCTGACCTAGCTTGGTCTCAGTTACCAAGTGATGACTTAATGATCCCTCCTTGGCCCTGAGACCTCTAAGGCCAAGACATATGCCTTCTAGGACATATGCCCACATCTGCTTAACCACAGTTCCTCTTCAGAGGCACTACATCTGATGGCCTGTTGTCGGAATCCCAGGTGTGCAGGAACACAGCATTTCCAGCACCGGCAAGGCACTAGCCTGTGCTACCTGTCCTCAATTTGCTTTGCAGATGTCTGTAGACTGGATTTCTTATGTGCCACCTGTGTAGTCACACTTTCCAGAAGCATCCTCTGGTTTTGCAAAACTTCTTCAACATGTCTGCACCTGGGGGATGAGGCAGAGAACAAGCTGAGAAGGGCTGAGTCCTACTTTGAGCATGCCGACCAAGCGGGAATCTCCACAGGGGATTGTCTCAGCCAGACCCATGGAAGCTGTGATGACTTCTAGTGAAAGTCTAAGGCACTACAGGCTCTTGGCCCATTAGGCCTTTTCCAGGGAAGTACCACAACAGGAGCAGGGAAAAACTTCAGCCCAGGGGCTGTAGGTTGGCTTGGGCAGGGAGAAGATTTTGATGCATGGGGAGCCCCAGAGTTCTCGAAAGTAAGAAATCCAGAGCCCTCCCCAGCCCATTTCAGGCAATCTGTCAGCCCCACCTGTGTTCTTTGTGTTCCACCATCAGGCAGCTATGGCAAGTGAGCATATCACAAGTCTCGCAGAATAGCTTGAGTACTTCCTGTGTGTGTAGAGGACAATACAAGGTGAAGTCTCCGGGACCACTATTCACTCCTGCCAGAGAAGACAGAGAAAGTGGGCTTCTCTTGCTCAGTTAGACAGACCTCTCAGTTTAAGATTTACTGCAAAGCCTTCCGCTTTCAGAGGACACTGCAGAAACACAGAGCTTGGGGGAAGTGGTACAAACAGGAGATGACTCTCCAGGGGCACAAGGAGGATTTTGGGCTTAGCTTGGCTGGATTTGCCCAGTTGTCCAGAAATAGCACACCATCAAGCCTGAGCACCCCACTACCTGCCACAGGCTGAGGAAGGCACTTGCTACTACTCCACATAGATCTCCTGCAAAATAATGAATCCTTCACAATTAACCTCAACCTGTTCATTAATCAGGATTCTGTTTTTAACAGAGCTGAAACCAGCTACCCAGCCTTGCCAGGCTCCAGGCTAGATCTCATGGATCATGAACTCTGGTTCCTGTGGATTTGACAGATGTAGAACCCCTTTCACAATTCAAGGGCCTTGAGAAAAGACTTTCAAAAAGAGTGTCATTTAAAACAGATGGTGGCTGGGCACAGTGGCTCACGCCTGTAATGCCAGCACTTTGGGAGGCCAAGGTGGGCGGATCACCTGAGGTCAGGGGTTCAAGACCAGGCTGGCCAACATGGCAAAATCCCACCTCTACTAAAAATACAAACATTAGCTGGGCGTGGTGGCGCATGCCTGTAATCCCAGCTACTCGGGAGGCTGAAGCAGGAGAATCACTTGAACCCAAGAGGTGGAGGTTGCAGTGAGCCGAGATCGTGCCACTGCACCCCAGCCTGGGTGACAGAATGAGACTCCATCTCAAAAAAAATAAAAATAAAAATAAAATAAAACAGATGGTGCTGAATAGACAAACGAACAAGCCCTGATCCAGACTAAGTTAATCAAGTAAATACATCAGAAGGGTGGCATGATTGCTCTAGAGGTGAAAGGCAGGGAGCTCAGCTAGCTTCCACAATAATCCAACACCTTCTTCCCTGTACCATTTCACCCACACTCATCCACCCCACCCCCCACAGGGAGGGACAGGAGTGAGTCACCCCTTTGACTCTGAAGGAGACTTCCTTTGGGAAAGGCTCTGAGACTGTCCCTACCTTCTCCCCCAGCAAGGAAACAAGATCGAAGAGCTATTCTCCAGGGATCTTAGGGTTCAGCCCTGCTTTAGGGCACAGGAGTGGGCGAGGAGAGGTGGAATTGGTACCTAGAGATCCCTTCTGGGCCCGAGGAAAGAACGGGCCCCCAGAGACAGGGCTGTGTCGGTGTTCCTCTGTGCAAGAGCTGCATAGCCAGCGATTGCAGTAGGTGCAGAGGATATGTGCTGCCCTCTTCTCCTTGCACTCGGAGCAGTTCTGGAAGCAGAGAGTTCTGGAGTTACTGACATGATCCTCATTTGGGTCTGCCTCCACAAGTGGCAAATACTCTAAAGAAAGGGGTCCTGCAGGCCTATTCCTCCACTATTTTGGAGTGAAGTCTGTTTTGCAGAGCTGTCTGGGAGTAACATGCCGGGGCTTGTGAAAGGAAGCATCCTTTGTGACCAAAAGAACAGTGGCTACGTCAGGCATGGTGGCTCACACCTGTAACCCCAGTACTTTGGGAGGCCAAGGCAGGAGGATTGCTTGAGCCCAGGAGTTTCAGACCAGCTTGGGCAACATAGTGAGACCCCATCTCTACAAAAAGTACAAAAATTAGCCAGGAGTGGTGGCACATGCCTGTAGTCCCAGCTACTAGGGAGACTGAGGTGGGAAGATCACTTGAGCTCAGGAGGTCAAGACTGCAGTGAGCCAAGATCATACCACTACACTCCAGCCTGGGCAACAGAGGAAGACCCTGCCTCAGAAAAGGAGGAGAAGGAAGAAGGAGAAGGAGAAGGAAGAAGGAAAAGGAGCAGGAGGAGGAGGAAGAGTAGGAGAAGGAAGAGGAGGAAGAGTAGGAGGAGGGGAAGGAGGAGAAAGAAGAGGAGGAAGGAAAGGAGGGAAGGAAGGAGGGAGGGAGGGAGGAGGAGGAGCAGCAGCAGCAGCTGTCTCAGGGGCTGTTCACACAAGTACTGTGCTGAAGCTAAGGATACCTAGATGCATAAGCCAAGGATCTGACCTCACGCTATCCATAGCACACAGGATGGTACGCATTAACTGAGTAATGCTGTAATAAAAAGGATGCAACATATGCAAAGGAAACAAAGGAAGCCTTCCAGAAACTCAGTCTAGGAGTGGCTAGGAAGAGTTTTACAAAAAGGAAACATTAGAGCTGGATACTGAATGACAAGTAGGTTCACCAGGCAGACAAGGGAGGAAAATTTAGAGGGAAAGCACTGGCAAAAGCAGGAAATTCAGAGAGGAGTGCTTCAGAGAGGAGAAGGCCCACATATGGGATTACACAGCAAGATGGTCAAATGCAGCCAAGAAAGGGCAAGTACAGACCAGCGTTCAGAGTTGCGCTCCCACACCTGGGTTCTGCCTGATCTGAGGGTATCTAGGCCTCTCCCAGTCCAAATGTTCATTCATTTGGTAAGCAAATATCTTGCCAGGGCTGATATAAAACATCAAGAGAAGGGGAGATTTGGAAAAGTTGGCCTATCTGTGCCTGAATCACAGAGGCCACCAAACTGATGTGAATTCTGAAAGTTTTACTAATTAAACTATGAATTCCTTGAAGGTAGAGTATATGGATCTATCTCCCTAATATCCAGCACAGGGCCTGGCACATGTGAGACATTCAACACAAATCAGTCACAGGAACAAGTAAGTAAATTAGTAAATTAGTAATTTACTAATTTAGATGACAAGGATACCCTAGTGGAAAGAGGAACAGAAGGGCTGCCAGCCAGTAAGTGATAAAAAATTTAAGAAATTCAGGAAAAAGGTGATAGTTGGTAAATACAGGCAAGATTAATAAACCCATTTAATCTAGGCTGGTATATGAATTTTAACTCAGGATAATAAAAAAATAAAACAAAAGCCCAGTACTGGTATTTTTCAGTAAGAGCTGTAAGAGAGAAAAAAATAATTATATATACAGTAGGCAACTCTTAATATACCTTAACTTACACTCACCTTCTGCTAAAGGGATTGATACTAAAAAAAGTCAGTAATTTTCACTTAATAGAAAACCCCCTCATTGTTTTCCCCAACTCATGCATTTTTATTTTCTTCTAGATGGATGGATGGATGATTAGTAAAACTGAAAGAGAAGTAACAAATCATATAGAGTGATAGACAGATAGACAGACTTATGGACAGGGGCCTCACAGATTTCAGAAACAGATCAGCTGCTTCTTTCCTTGCCCTGACTTACCCTGGCCATCTTGGGTTGCTCAGTAGGAACACACTGCAGAAAAAAATGTTCAGTTACATCCCTGGTAAGATATACTTGTTCACACCCAGGACAGGAGATGAGCTCTGTGCAAGAAAGAAAGATAGCAGAGTCAGAACAACATGGCTGATTATACCTAAGGCCTGGACATGGGGCTTTCTAATACACAACACCAAGATACGTGGCAATACCCATGTCTGCCAAAATGAACTACATTTGATGCCATAGCCCGCATTTACTATGTGGGTACCCTGAACATCACCAACCCATTGGGGCCTTCCCTACAGACCAACTGGTCTCCTCACATTCTTGTCTTTACCTGGTCCTACCTTCCTCCCCACCCCATAAGCCATGCTACTACAGGCCCAACCCTGCTTTGGTTCTGACAATCAGGTGCCTTCTTGCTGCTCCCATTCCGCATTCCACATCCCTGAGAGCACAGCTCCCATCACTAGCCAAGATCCAGGGAGTCAGTTTAGTTAGAGGCACAGCTCCAGGTCATTACAGTTACCACATAGCAGGATGATTTGGAAGATCTCAAAGCTACAGCTTCCAGAAGGCTTTAGTCAGAGAAAGGCAAGCCCTCTCTGCCTGCTCATCTAGGAGGTATTTTTCTCTTAGACAGCATATACCAGTCAGTCTGCCTCTGAGGCTCAGAGGTCTTTTGGAGGGCTTTCTCCCCATAGTCCATGTTGGATGCAACATATATATGTATATTTTACCTATGAACAGCTTGACCTACAATCTCTCCCCAGAGAAATATACCCGTCTCTAACACATTCTTCAGCATAGTGGGCTTCTGGACCATAAAAGCAGCAAAAGACTCCCATCCTGGAGACCACAGTGATTCTGCTGGCCCACCCCAAGAGCAGTCAACCTACTGGGAACAAGAAAATGAGCCTCTGGAGTAGGGCAAGGTACCTGCGTCCAGGGATGAGGGTGATCTGGAAAGGGGTTTGCTATGGCAGTGAATGCAGCAGTCCCACTACAATCTCCTCTGTCTCATCTCTTCAAAATATGGAAGATGGATATAATGGCAGTTGCTCCAGACTTATAGTCAGACAAATGTAAGCCCAAATACCAGGTTTACCAGCCAATGACCTTGGGCAAAACAATCTCACTTAATTGCTCTGTGCCCCACTTTCTTCATATGTAAAATAGGGAAAATAAGAGTTGCTGTGCAGATTAAATTAGATAAAACTTCAGAAATCACATGGTCCTCCATGAATGTTGACTTTGGATTCAAAAGATTCCTCATATCCTATTCACAGTAATGCAATAAACTCAATTATCAACTCTCTGGTGATGAAAGTTAGTTTGACTGGTAGATTCAAAAAATGGCCACAAATTCTTCCCTTCCCTGCATCCATACCCTTGCAATCCTACCATCAAAAGGTAAGACTCTCCATGAGCTTCAAGTCAGTGATGAGTTTTTAATTTTTAAAAGAGGTAGGACCCTTCACCCTTTGAATCTAAGCTCGTGACTTTCTTTGTGACTTTCTTTGGCCAACAGAATGCAGCAAAAGTGACAAGTTCTCCAAGCCTAGGCCTCAGTGGCCTTATATAATTCTGCTCTTGTTCTTAGAACTCTAAGATTGCCATGTGAAAAATCTAACCTGGCATTGAGATTGCTGGAAGATGAGAGAGCATGCAGAGAGAGATCTCAGTTGTCTCAGGCATCCCACCTGAGGCCATCATAGACCAGCTAGCCCCAACTAACACACTAGCTGAACACAGACGCAAGAGTGAACACAGTCATAATTATTTAAGCCCAGGCCAAACCAGAAGAATTACCCAGAGAATCCCAGCCCAAACAGCCAAACTGTAGAATCATAAACTAAATAAAGTTTAGTTATTTTAACTACTAAGTTTAGAGGTGGCTTGTTATGCAGTAAAAGCTAATTGATACATCCCGGGAAATCAAAATCCACAAAATCATGAAAAATAATAGTTTAATACTCCCTCACCCCACCAAAAAAAAAAAAAAAAAAAAAAAGGAAGAAAGAAAAACTTTCTGAGTCTTTGCAGAGCCATGAGTGTTAATGACAGGATTGCATCTGGAATGTCCTGCATATTCTCCCGCCTGTCAAGAACAATGGCCAGAGGTGAAGAAGGATGCTCTCCACAGGTGACATCATCCAGGGGAATAAGGCTACTGTCCCTCCCTTCCACTTGGTTCACCCTGGGGAGGCCTCCTCCTCTACGCCCAGGACAGAAATGCTGCTCTAATCGTTGAAAACAACATCCACAAGACTTTCCTGGTACCAGATGCCCAAACATCAGTCACTGTAACATGGCCTCATGAGCAGAATGAAAAAAGAGAAAGAACTTAATAGGTCAAAGAAGGCCTCATCACACATCCTCTGCTCCCTTGGCCTTAAAGCCAAAGTCCTCAGCTTGGCATTCCATGCCCTTTGCAAATTAACCTTACCTCTCTCTAATCTCATCTTTAGCTTTGCCTGCCATACACCCTGTGTTTTTGCCATGCCCAATATCTCTGCTATCTCTTGAATACACCAAACTTTTGCCTGACTCTGTGTCTGTGAAAAATGCTGTTTCCTCTTCCTGAAATACTCTTTCTTGCCCCTCTCCTTTTCAGATAAACTCCTATTCATCTTTTCATACCTGTTCAAATGTTCCACCTTTGAGAAGCAGGGTTAATTTCCCCCAGGATTAGTTAATTAGTCCCTCTTCTGGGTTCCCACAGCACCCTGAACATCCTTCTAGTACAACAAATATCACATTGCCTTTCAAATACCTGTTCATATGTCTGCATACAAAAATAAACCACAGTTGGTATTAAAGGATATTACCTGGTTTTTAGCAGATTGAATTATAGAGTAAGTCCTCACTTAACATCACTGATAGGTTCTTGGAAACGTCAACTTTAAGCACGATGACGTAAAATGAAACTTTTTTTTTTCATCAATGTTATAACAAAAGGATGTCTACTTAAGGACCTGCTGTACATTGTTTTGCTTAAAATCACAGTTTCTAAGAATCTAGTCGATGATGGTAAATGAGGACTGCATTTCCTTTTTTTTTTTTCTTTTTTTTGAGATGGAGTCTCGCTCTGTCACCCAGGGTGGACTGCAGTGGCACAATCTCGGCTCACTGCAACCTCTCCCTCCTGGGTTCAAGCAATTATCTTACTTTCTACACCATTAAAATGAGGGGAATAGGAATGCAGGGAAGTACAAATTATCCAACCCATTTACTCTGCCTACAGCAGCCAGGCGTTTTTTTCTCCTGGAAGCCAGGCCCAGTGGCTCACACCTGTAATCCCAACACTTTGGGATGCCAAGACAGGAGGATCATCTGAGGTCAGGAGTTTGAGACCAGCTTGGCCAATATAGCAAAACCCAGTCTCTACTAAAAATACAAAAATTAGCCAGGCATGGTGGGGAGCACCCTGTAATCCCAGCCTCGGGAGGCCAAGGCAGGAGAATTGCTTGAAGCTAGGAGGCGGAGCTTGCAGTGAGCCGTGATTGCGCCACTGCACTCCAGCCTGGGTGACAGAGTGAGACTCTGCCTCAAAAAAAAAAAAAAATTAAAAATTAAAAATTAAAAAAGAAATTAAAGAAAAAGAAATATTATCCTGGGCAAGATGGGAAAGAACAGAGAGCCAAATAGCACCCTGGCTATCATCCTGGTCAGAAAGTCAGGGAACAAGCTTGTAGTTGAAAGAAATCCTGGATTTAAGAGATCAGCCCTCCAACAGGGGCTGTGCAGCAAAGAGCAGAGATGGAGAATCATCACAGTGGTGCAGGCACTGTCCCAGGGAGGCTGCGGGCCCCAGAGTGGACCCAAAGGACATGCGCTCTCTTTGTGTCACAACACCTTTGTCCAGAAATTCTTCTCTTCCCTCAGAAGGTCCCTAACCCCATCAAGCTGTGTCAACCTTGACTTTTTATTTTTTTTAAAGAGATTCTCCATCTTTCAATGAAGATATCAAAGTAAAGTTTTACTTTAGACAATTGGCATATATCAACTCTTAGAGCTGTGTATAACCAAACATCTACTTAACAATATTTAATATTAATTTAGTTATAAATACATATTTAAATCACATTGTACATAAAATGTTATTTAGATATCATGCTTTTTTCCATTTTATTTGGTTAATTATTATTCAAACGACAGCCCTACTCTTGTATTTCACATACAAGAACACTGATTCTGAGAAATATAGAGACAGGGCCCCAAGTCCACATGATTATCCCCCATGAGATGTGGGGCTTCTGCCTCCAGAATCAGGAAGTCACAGACACCAGAGGTGCTCCTGAGAACTTAGGAGCCTAGGAGAGCAGCTCTGAAAGTGGAGGACATTTAGTCCATCTGTCACAAGTGCAAACACTTCTGGTCCTTGAGAGGTGTGGGACACATTTTCATCTGTACACCACCACTCTCTGAACCAGGCACTTTACATGTGTAAAAAATTCTCCAGGTGAAAACAATGTACAACCAAGTTTGAGACACAGCACCTATGAGAGAGCACCCCCTTCCCCTGTGGCTGAGCCTGATAGCTGTCTACTATATCATGCAACTGAGAAAGGCACGCTTACCCAGTTGCACCCATTAACTTGTCATTTACCTAATGTAAATGACGAGTTTTAATAATAGGTACAGCACACCAACATGGCACATGTATACATATGTAACAAACCTGCACGGTACCCTAGAACTTAAAGTATAATAATAATAATAATAATAAAAAGAGACTAAGAAGTTAAGAAAGACTCTGAATTCAGCTGTGATGTAGTTCCCCTCTGGCAGAGAAAAGGGCAGATTCCCAACAGACAGGTAGTGACCTGATACTCCTGTACCTGGGGATTGGCACTGAGTTGGGAGCCAGACTCCCAGCTCAACTGCAGGACCCATAAGCAGACCTAGAGTGCAGCCTGAGGTTTGGCACTACAAGGACTGCTGCTGGGACCTAGAACATGCACTGAGCGTAGGCCTTAGTGAGGCAGCAAGGAAGTTGGGCCCACACTGGGTAGTCTACCTTTCAGACATGAACAGCAGGGCCAAGGCAACGTGGACACCAGGGAGGTAGGGGAGGAGAGAAATCCCAAAGAGGTCTTAAAAAGCTGGTATCGGGTCAGCTTAGGTCACCAAGCAAGAACACATACGTCACATAAGCCTGAGACCAATGCTAAGCAATCCTCTGAGCGTTAGGAAGCCCTTCATTCCACAGCTCTTGCCCAGGGCTCCAGGCAACTAGAAGCTGGGGTCCAAGCTCTGATTCCAACAGAGCAATAGCATCCACTGGAGGAGCCTGATGCTCCTCTGCTAGTTCCAACCTGTAGACCCAAAGCTGGACAGAGCTTCACTGTTCATCCAGGCAATTCCCCACCACACATAAGATGACATGGAGGCCCAAAGACAGGGAGGAGCTTAGCTAAAATCACATGGCCCTTGTATAACATAGGTGATACTGTGAACCACTAAGCAGTCCCTAATTACCTCTGTAGCCACAGGTAAGATTCTCTACCTCCCTATGCCTCTGTCAGATGCTAAGCAATGAGAAAAAACACTCTAGTTGTATCCTCTGGCAGGCTGGACATCCTCACTAACAGTTCTGCCCTCCCACCCCTGAGCAGCCCCAGCCCACTTAGCACCAGCTAAGGCCCCCACCACACAGCCCCTGAAGGCTTCCTCCAACCCACCACTCAGAGCAGCACCACCTTCAAGAAACATATTGCACCCCATCCCCAAATACCCAGTCCCTGCTAGAAAGACAAATTTTTATCCAAGTCACCCCTAAAGTGACTGCTGCTTCTGCCCCAGCTGCCAGCAGGCTTACCTGTGGCCCTGATGCCGTGATTAGAGCAACACCTGGGATAGAAGTCAGAGGAGCAACAGGTGAGACCACCACAGGTCCAGAGGATGGTGCTTACCAAGCACCCAGGAACACCCACCCTGCATGCTGTAGCCAGCCGGGCTGCAAGGCCTAAGCCTCAGGGAATGGATACTGGATAGGGTAAGGGGAGCAGCCTGGATCTTCTCCTTTCTCTGACGCATCCTCAGCCAGGGCTGCATTTCTCTAGCTCACCTGAGATACTCCTGCAGGAAAGAGCTTGGTTGACTCCTCCTGTTTCTGTTTATCTCGAAGGCTCTGCAGCAATTTTCCCAAACTGAACAGCAAGAGGGAGACCTCAAAGAGGCGACTCTTTTCCTAGCTGCATCTCCTTCCTAATCCTCTGGGTGCCTTGGAATAGAAGCTCAGAAGGAAGAAAATGACATTTTCAACTTTCAGGAACTAGCTCTGTCGCTCTCTGCACAGCTCGGGAGACAGCACTCTCAGCCTTTTAGGACTCCATCCAAAAATCCTTCAGCCCTCCATGTTCCCCAAAATGACAGTGCTCATGTGTGGCTGGAACCTGCCCCGATCCGGCAGCTCATTTAAATAGAGCTCATCACAACAACAGTGTTGGTGGAGAAGTGAGTAGCTGCAGGGCCCTGGGGACCCCCTGTTTATACGTAGGAAGAATGATGCAATCTGGGTATCAAAATAGCAATCCAGAATGGAATAACAGGCTCACGCAGCAGCGGTGCCTGCACAGCCAGAGCTCAAGTTGACACACTCTGTCAGCCCCACACTGCTGCAGCACGCAGATGCCAGGCACACACTCTCACCGCATCATTTTAAAAAACAGCAGGAGCCCAAGATATCCCTCCATGCCCCCGGCACTGAAGGAGGGTGTGGGGGGGCCTTCAACAGACATTGAAATCTGTCTCCTACATACTCACCTGCTCCTGCCACTTCACCTGAAGTCCTTATCCTGTGACGTCACAGTCAGTTGCCATAGTGACCAATTGTCCGTCACAAGCAGAGGATTAGGACTTCGGATGGAGAAGACACACATTTATGATGCAAAAAGGTCGTGGGGGTTCTCCCTGGGCAGCTAACTCTACCCACCAGGAAGATCCAGTCACACACAAGCAGAGAGGGAAAAAGGGAAGGATGAACAGGGTTGACTGGAGGAGACATTAGGATGGGGCAAGGCTACAAGTACAGCACAATTTCAAAAGCACAGAGCAACCAGATGAGGGGGAGTGGCAGGGACATGCTTGGAAAGACTGGCAGGAGAGTAAGCTCCTGAAGGAAACTGAATGCTAAGCTCAGGAGCTTGACCTTCATCCTAAAATAAAAGGCAGCCCAAAAAGCTTCTGGAGAGTGACTGAGCTGGGCTTTATGATTATCTTGATGGACTGGACACAGGGAGGTCAGGGTAGTTGAGCATTAATGGGACCCTAAATGAGGGTAGAAATGGAAAAAAGCAACAGAAGACTCATTTCAAAGAGAATTGACAGGACATAAGCAAATTAGGATGTTGGGGCTAGTGGTAGCGTGTGAAGAACAAAGAGTCAAGTGGAGGGCTGTCATGAACAGAGGTAGGTAACAGGAGGAAGAGAGCAGTGGCCAAATCCCATGTTATCTATGCCTTCCTTTCTCTGGCATCCTTGCCCTCTTAAGATCAGGCTTCATTCTGCCTTGCCTGGACCAGTGATGCCCAAATCTGGAGAGCTTGTTAGAAATCCTGAATCTACCAAACCCAAATCTCTTGTGTGTGGATGTAGGACTGGGAATCTGTATTTTTAGTAAGCATCACAAACAATTCTTAGGCATTCAGACCAGCACTGGTTCAAAGCCCAGCAATCAGGAACCAATGGCCTGGACAACTGCAGTAGTACAGCAGGTCTTCCTGTATCCAGTCCTATCTCCTCCAGTCGTTCTTCTCACTGGGCCAGTATGAATATGTTTTTTTCTTGTTTGTTTGTCTTTGGTTTTTTTTGTTTATTTTGAGACAGCATTTCATTCTGCCACTCGGGCTGGAGTGTGGTGGCATGATTATGGCTCACTGCAGCCTCAGCCTCCCAAGCAGCTGGGACTACAGGTGTGCACCCAGCTAATTTATTTTTCATTTTCTATTTTTTGTAGAGACAGGGCCTTACTCTGTTGCCCAGGCTGGTTTTGAACTCCTGACCTCAAGAGATCCTCCCCTCTTGGCCTCCTCAAGTGCTCGGATTACAAGTGTGAGCCACCACAACCAGTCAGAATGACTTTGATCATATTCCAAAGTACAGATGTGACCATATTATACTGATCAAAAACTTTCAATGGCTCCCCACTGTCCACAGAATAGCTTAATCAAGATCCTTCACAATCTGGCCCTAAGTTTCCTTTCTGAACAGAATCCATACTTCTCTCTTTCAAGCATCCCATATTCCAGCCAAAATTAACTCCCTCCTGTTTCTAATATTTGCCCTCCCCTCCCCTCCATGTGCCTCATCCTAACACTATTCCCTACCTGGGAGTCCCTTGCATATTTTTCTGATTCTGCCTGGTTCCTGCACAGCTATTCCTACTTGGTGTCACCCACAGATTCAAACCACCCAATTTCCCCAGACAGAACCTAAAACAGGGGTCAGAAAGCCATAAACTGCCTGCTCTCGTAAATAAAGAATACAGTAATGCCCATTCATTTCCATATTGTCTATGACTGCCTTCCGCTTTTCTGCTACAATGGTAGAGCTGAGTAGTTGGAACAGAGACCGTATGACCCACAAAGCCTAAAATATTTACTATCTAGCCCTGTGCAGAAAGTTTATGACATCTGGCCTAAAACAACAGCTCCTTAAATTGTGCTAGCCTCACCCTTTGGGGTTTAATTCTGATTAAGGGGATTTTGCTTGTTTCCAAGCCCATGTCCATCTTCGTGAACTCTAGTTCTGATAACTGGGTTGCATCTGAGCTGGACCTTCAAGTTTGTGTAGGATGTTTCAAGCAAGAAAAGGCATTTCAGGAGGAAGGAACATTATAAACGGAGAATTACAGATATGAAAGTGTGAGGCCTCTTTGGAAAGTCTTGTAAGGCTAGAACATATAGATAAATGACTGATGAGACTATAACATTAGTTTGGAACCAGATTAAGAAAAGACTTGGAGGCCATGCTAAGTGTCCATTTTAAACTGCAAGCAACTGGAAGCCTTTGGGTAGCTAGAAGTGCAGTCCCGGAGTCAGAGGGAGTGATCAGGGTCAAAGCTAGAGCATAACCACAGTGGCAATAAGTGAAGTGAGGTCAGGAAAAATATCACTATTGGAAAGAATAGGGAATAAGCTGAGGTCAGGCAGGTATCCAGGGACTGTGAGGAAGAGCCAGACAGCCAATCTGAGCCAAGAGTCAGAATCTGGCTATGAAAGCCAGGTGACTGGCTGGGGCTGGAGATGGATGCATGATCCACAGCCTTCAGAGCCCATGCTCCTAGGAACCACCTGGCTGTGAAACAGGCTTTCTGTGCCAAGAAAGTACCCACAGTATAATGCAAAAAGTACAGGTAGGATGAAGTCTAGGCTCATTTCATTTGATAGACCCTCACTGACCCAGGTAGCACCTCTGTCTATTTTCATCCCAAATCTTAAGAGTCAGTGCAAAAACTGATGCACTGACATGCTCCATGCTAAGCCACTGATCCCTTTTCCAGCTGGGCCTGGAGAGAGAGAGACAGTTGGGGAACCAAGGGCAGCATCCTATTCTGGGTCTGTAGTTTCTACTGGCCCTCAAGTCCCGGAAAGCCCTGGACTGCCAGGCAAGGGAGTTGGATTTTTTTCCTGGCTCTGCAAGTAACCGACCATGTGGTTTTCAGCAGGATCCTAGCCCTTCCTGGACTCCTGATGCTTCATCTATGCAGTGAGGGGTTGGAGTTTAAGGGCCTTCCCTGCCTCCTGGCCTCCACAGCACTCAACCTTAACTGCTCCCCCTTAAATCAGAAAGTTCCAGCAGACAAGAGGCCCCTCGAAGATCTCATCCATCCATCACAGCCATCTCGAGCTCCCTCCCTCAGCAAATCTGTTCTAGCTATAGCCTTCCAAGCAGCACTGGCAGCAGCAAGCACCTCCCCCAAAACACAGCCTGCCTCCTTTCCATTACTGGGGGAATTGCTCTCCCAGTAATGGGTCCTGTTCTGGAGTGCCAGTGCTACTCCCAGGGCCCTAGAGAGCTAATTAAGGTAAGGAAACTGTTCATGAACTAAAAAGCCACTCCACTGATAGGGCTCCGGGCTTTAGCTTCTGTACCTGCTGCACACCCAGCTCAGTAGCCTGCCCTCCACCTGGGAGACTTGAGTCACTGCCCACAACAGACCTCAAAAGGCTGGACACACTGCAGCACCTGGAATGAGCAAAGAATAGTCACCCACCTCCCAGGCTCCTATAGCTGAGATCTCACCCCCTGCCTCCCATTCCCACCCAAGACCATCAGAGCCCCTCCAGCTGAGCTGCTCATTAAGATAAGCATCATTTCCCTCTCTGACTCTAAGGTTGTAGCATCTTGCATCAGTTCCCTCTCTTTGGATATTCCTAAAGTCCCAAGGCCTGTCCAACGAGGGACCGTGATTGCTCCTCCTTTCAGCATTAGTAGTGTTTGGGCGATGCTGTCACCCTTCACTAGCTTCAAGAAGCATGGGGCTACGGTAGCAATTTGGTGTTCTTAAATCTCATTAAGTCTAGCCCTGAAAGCCAGAAAGGGCCTAGGATTGCCCAATCTATTAGTGCTAGAGTCCAGGTGAGCTCTAGAGTCTGTGACTTCCAGCTACATCCCCAACTTTGAAAATGGGAAAAATAAGATATTAAACAAGTAGATTCTGGAATCTGCATCTCAGTATCAAAGTCTTCCAGCCATGATTTGTCTTTTAATTGATTTGAAGAGAAAAATTAAGTAATGTTCCTTTTCCTCGCACGGGGAAGGAAATATCCAATTAATTCCCTCTTCCCTTTCCTAAAATGACAAATAAAACCACAGCAACCCTGAGAACCTTGAAGACAGAGCCAGCATATGGTAAGAGTTAGTTTCAGGGATGTTAGCTCCCTTCAGAGCTTACTACATTTACTTAAAGTATCATTTTGGTACTCAATGGCCAACTTTCCAGATAGAATTTGACCTGGGACCATTTTTAATTAGCCACAAAAGCAAATAGCCCCAAGTAGATATTCTCATTGACTGAGAAAATCCAATTTCAACAGCTAGCATTTCTGTACCCAGTCATCGCACTTCATGGCTAAGCCACTGTATTCTCACCACACTCCTAACTTTGCTCTGGTCCCCATCATTAGCTTTTGAAGATCTCGCCCAGCTGGTCTCCTCAGTGCCTGAGAGGTGATGCAGACCCATTTTTCTAGTTGCTGGGGAGAATCTCAACTCGGCTGTGGCTGTATTAATTAAAGATTTGCGCTTGATCCAGCAATTCAAATACTGAGTATACAGTAGTCCCCCCTTATTCATGGAGGGTACATTCCAAGATGCCTGAAACAGTGGATAGTACCAAACCCTATATATACAATATTTTTCCTATGTATACATAGCTATGATAAAGTTTAATTTGTAAATTAGGCAAAGTAAGAGATTAACAATAACTAATAATAAAATAGAACAATTATAAGAATATACTGTAATAAAAACAACATGAATGCAGCCTCTGTGCTCGCGCTCTCTCTCTGTCTTCCCCCCTCCACCCCCCACAAAATCTCTTAATATTTTCAGGCTGTGAGTAACTAAAAACTTGAAAAGCAAAACCTTGGATGCAGGGGGACTACTGTATTTCCAAAGAAAATGAAATCAGCATATCAGAGACATACCTGCACTCCCATGTTCATAGCTGTATTATTCACAATAGCCAGGACAGGGAATCAACCTGTGTCTACTGACAAATGGATAAAGAAAATGTGATATATATATATACACAATACTATTCAACCATTAAAAAAAAAAAAAGAAGAGGAAAACCTGTCATTTGTGACAACATGGTTGTATCTACAGCATATTGTAAGTGAAATAAGCCAGGCACAGAAAGACAAATATTGTATAAGCTCACTCATGTGGAATCTAAAAAAAACTGATCTCATAAAAGTGGACAGTATAAAAGCGGCTACCAGGGTCTAGAGTCGTTGGCAGGGGGCAAGGGTAGTTAGGGAGATGTTGGTCAAAGGATACAAAAATCCAAGTTAGACAGCAGGAATAAGTTCAAGAGATTCATTGTACAGCATGATAAGTGTGGTTAATAATATATTGTATGCTTGAAAGATGCCAGGAGAATGGATGTAAAGTGTTCTCACCACCAAAATGATAATTATGTGAGGTGATGTGTATGTTAACCGGCTAGATTTAGTCATTCTGCAATGTATTTATACTTCAAAACATCATGTTGTATACTGTAAATACACAGTTTTACATGTCAGTTAAACACTTTTTTAATTAAAAAATATTTATATTTGCTGGCTCAGGCTGCAGAGTTTGTTCTTTCTTCAAAGATTCTCCGTGGAATCTCCTCATCAGTTTGGTATTCTAACTGAGTATGGACTCTCCCCCTGAGCAAAGTGCCACGATGTTGATCACAAGCTTTGAAGACAGGTGAACCTGAATTTGACCTTACCAGGCAGTAGTTGTTAATAAATATACCAAGTAGTTGTCTATAAGTACCCCAATCCTCATATTTTTCATCTATAAAATGGGAGTACTAATACCCCCTTTATAAGGCTGCTGTGGAGTTTACAAAAGATAATGCCTCTACAGTGTCTGCTTGATAAATGTGTTTTGTACCTCCCACTTGAAGAACAAAAAGGGACTGTATCACAAGTGAAAAAAGCCTTCTACTCAGGCTTTATTAAGTCATTTATTCAATAAATATTCACTTAAGACCTCCTCTCCTGCATCATGTTCTGTGTTGGGTTGCAGGGTTACAGACATGAAAGGCACCATCTGGATGAATAGGAAGATGCCTACCTCATGCCATCCCCTCAGTTCCAAGCCCC